CCTAACAATCCTACACATCAAATAGGACCTTAAATTGGCCTTTTTCAAGATTCAATTTCACTAAATTTCAACCCACATTCAAAATCCCTAAATTTGCCACAAATTGGCTGTCTCCAAATTCTACCAAATTGAATGTCCTAACCCCAAAATTAACACCGAATTTATATTGAAAACTCTTTATGACATTCTTCTAGACCATTTTGAACCATCAATTTGGACCTAACCAAACCTTAGCTTAACCTAAACCCAAGTCTAACCAAACACCCCAAATTGACCAAATGCCCAAAATCCTCCAAATTAAACCTCCAAACTAATTCAAAATCACTCCAAATCTTTTCTAAACTTCTCATGGCAATTACCCAAAAAAAATTTCTCAATCAATTGAGCTCAATAGCATGGCTAGCTCAACCCAAAACCCACATCAAGCCACTTGACCCAAATAGACCATTTCACCTAAATTGACTTAATCAAACAAAATTGGTCAACCAAGGACCCCCATAACCGACCCCCACAACCACTAAGCTCCTTAGAACCATCCTAAATCCACCCTAGGCTGAACCACCCTAAATCCACCCAAGTGAGCTATGGACCAATGGGTCCCTAAATTAAGGGATTTCATCTCATTTTTTGGCCTTAACTAAGAAGTCTCCTCTATCATGACAAACCATTAGTCATGACAAACCATTAGAGGGGTAAATCATAATTAACCATCTCCCTGGCTCACCTGACCACCTGAACACCTCCCCTGCTCTGGCCAGCCACCCTACTCGCCAAAAAATGCCAAATCCGTGAGCCATCACCCCTAAATCAAACCCAATTTTAACCCTAAAGGCCAACTCACCTTAACTGCTCTTTAGAGCTCCTCAGCCCTCCACCTAAGCAACTCTTTGCACCCATCAACTGGCCCTGAGCTCCTCGCTAAACCCTTCTACTTAAACCATCTTCTCCATGGCCAAAGGATAGGTGTTCCAAATCCTTGGGGAAACTCTGTCAAAATCTAATCAAAGACTCTCCAAGCATTCCACAGCTTAAGCCAACCATTTTCCCCCTCTGATTCCCACTGTGAGAGCCCAATTTTGAGCTCAAACTTTCAGCTCGGATCAAGACATCTCTACACAGTACACCAAACTCAAATTAATTGTGCACACTCCATCCCTAGAGCAAGATGAGTTGATTCCCCATCAAAGCCTTCTCTGAAACAGCCTATAGGATAGCTCTGGACCAACACCTGAAATCCACCTTGGTCGAAATCATACCTAGACAATTCACTAGGGTACAAGACTTCATGTGGACGTTTGTTGGACTCAACCGAAGCTATCACAGCCATCTGATTGAGGCATCCTCTCGCAGACAAAGGTATTGAGCTCTAACCCTAACCCGAGCTTATTTTAATTCTCCATGAATAATGGCTTGATTTCATACTTGCTTAACCGTATAGATGTGTTCGTCTTGAGTAGATGAATGTTTAGAAACAAACTCCATGTGATTTGATCGATTCTAGGCAAAGATCTTAAGGTTTTGGTCTGGATGGTTTACTGGTTAGGTCACTTGGGGACGATGAAAGGATGTCGTCCGATCGCGCGTGTATCCAATGGACGAAGGAGATCAAGCCGGACAGACTCTTAGTGAGTGAACCGCGAACCTCGTGGCATGCCTAGGTGGAAAGCACAACGAATGGGAGCGTGCCGCGTCGTCTTTCAGAGCTGCGCTGCGTATGATCCAGTCAGCGCCGCATGGATAAGTAGATAAATAGGGGTTTTATGAATTAACTTAAATGCCATATCTTTAAAAATTCATATCTTTGCATAGAAAAATCATATAAATAAAAGAAAAATACTCACTTGCTTAGTTAACATAGGAGAATAATGTGGACCAAAAATAAAAATTATTTTCCAAGTATATGATTTTTAATTAATTAAATATCCTAGGTGGTATTTCAATTCTCCATGACTAAATATGGCTCACCATGACTTGAAATTTCTAAGGTTTATTCCTCATCACAGAGAAGATGTTCTCTGATTTTTCCAAGGTAAGAAGGCATCTTTATGCTTATAGCCCTAATTTTTAAGCTAGGGTGGCCATTTTGGCTTATTTTATTTATATAAATCAAAATGTCATTTAAAAAATTATGAAGATAATTTTAGTAAGTTTCCTGTGGTCAGAGAAGACTAGGAAAAATATTATAATGTTTTGAATTATTTTGTACATCTCTATATTTAATCAAATGTATACACCTTCAAATGTATACACTTAAGTGTATATATCGTGTGTTAATTTATGTAAGTTATATACTTATCAAAAATTGACAAATCAATTCCACATTGTGCATAAAAATCATATTTACTTACTGTAAAAAATTAAAAATTATTTGGCTTAGAAAATTATTAATAAAGTTCTCATGAAATTATTTTTCTTGTAATTCTTATAAGTATCTTAAGGATGATAAATTGTAGTTATTTTTGAAATAAATAGAAAATCAGAACATTTAAACTTGACTGTTACATATTCTTGTATTTTAGTTTTTAATCTGAGAGGTTAAAAATTTCTCTAAAAGTTTCACTATAGCATTTATAAAGCAGAAATTATAGAAAACTTTAAGTTAAATTTGCTACCACATGTTATAAATTTTATATATATTATAAGGAGTAACTTGAGGATAAGTAATGTTAAGTTTGGGGGAATTTCATGAGCATTTTATTTATATTTTAAATGATATTGCACTTTAAAAGAAGGTATTTTGAATGTTTTTGTTTCAGATACATGGAATGGACATTTAGAGAAAATGAGGGAAAAAATGAGCAAAAATGAAGATTTTTGTGTGGTGCTATAGCGCCACCCCTTGGTGTCATAGTGTCACAGACGAGCAAGAAGGGTGCCATAGCGCCCTAGACTAGCGCTATAGCGCCAGTAACTACTTTTCTAGAAGATACATCAAATTTGGCCGAATTTTGGAGGGGTGTTTGAAGCAACCCTTGGTTATTTTCTATTTAATGAGAAGGATATGGCCAAATTTGGAGACTTTTTGGAGCCCCAAAACTTCAATTGGGCGGCAATAGTGAGTTATGGTTTTCATATTTTGTGTTCAAGTGCATGTGTGAGTGTGTTTTAGTGTATGAGTTTCTTTTTTGAGTTTCAACAGCTTTTGATGCTTTGAATTTAGCATACTCTCATAGGGAGAAGACATAAAGTACTTTGTATTTGTGCTTAAATTTTTCTTTTTAGGACTTGGATTTCAATACAAATTTGGTGTTTTTGTTTTTGTTTAATCTCCATGAATTCTGAGTAGTTTCCTTTCTTTCTTCTTGCATATGAGAATTTTGTGGGTAGAGAATGATTTAAAGATGACCTTTTACTCCTAAAAAATGAGATGATATTTTTACCAAATCTTCATTTACTTGGAAAGTGGTCACTTGTAAGGTTAAAATCCGTTGAGAAACATAATGACCTACGAGGGCTATGGTTTCACCCAACTAGTGGACACCACAATTCATTCTAGACCGAGCCCTTGCGATCACCTAAAGAGGAGTGCAAATAAATAGGGAGATAAGTTTTGATTAGCAAAGAATTGGTTAGTTCTAAAGTGACATGCAAGATTCTTATCAATTTGGCTTAAGGTTTAATACCCTGATGCTGGGATTCAGTCATCACGGTGACATAGGCTAGGGGAATCTAGAGGTGAGAGAATAGATAACGCTGAAGTGGAGTCGAAATGTTAAGGACTCGGCTTTAAGTTTGTTAATATTCTTTGCAAGCACTGGGAGGGGGTAAAGAATAAGATATGCTTCTATTTGTCACAATACATCAATTTTGTCTTAAATTATCTGAATCCTACATAGATTAAAATCTCTTTGCAAGAGGAAATGTTTTCCATAATATCCAAACTCGTTATTTTATTTTGTTAAGCTGTTACATTTATTTTTTACTTTCTTTAGTAGTAATTTTTCGTAAGCATATCATTTTAAATTTTTTACCTTTTTAATGTATAATTTAAATATAATTTTCACTTGATGTGAACAATCAGTGTAGAATTTGGTAGAAATGAAGAAATGTTGCAGCCACTAAAACCCATTGGAAAACCCACTATGCATAAATTTGAATCATTTGTTGGATCTAGGAGTGGAAGTAGTGATAAACCCTCCACATCAGCTATAGGATCATCTACTTCCAGTTCTATTTCACTTGAAAAAATTATGGAATAATTAATGATTCAACAATCAGAACTTATAGCAATGTGAAACATAATAGGTGGTATATAAGCTAGAAATACCTACAATGATCAATATAAGCATAAAAGAGTCTAACACGACATTGCATATGAAGAGGTGATTATATTTTTGAGGGGTCACCATAATATAGAGTTTCCTACATGCCCTAGTTTCACGCCTTATGTGCAAGAAGAAGAAGAGGAAGAAGAGAAAGAGGAAGAAGATGAAGAGTAAAATATATTTGAGATTTTGTTTATTTTTGTGTTATTATTTGTTTTTTTTTTATTATTGATGGTATGAGTTGAAACAATTTACATGTTTGATTTGTGGCCCTATTGAACTGGTATATGTAATAGTAAATTGTATTTTTATTTTTCAACATTTTTAGTTGCTTTAGTTTACTGTTTGTCTTTAATTTATCTTTTCTTAGCGAATTCTTTGATATATACTTCTTAAGTTAGCACCTGCAAAATATCAGGAGCCAAATTTCATATTCAGAATCTTCTACGGGTTAGTTTTATTTTTTATGCATTTATTATGTTAAATTTTTTGTACTACATGTTTTACTTATTATTTGAAAATTTAAGTTTGGGGGAGAAATTTCTCTAAAATTTTCTACTTGATCCTCACCCTGGGGCTTTTGGCTATACACATAAATATACGACAATACCGTCCGATAAGCAAGAAGACAAGCGGATCTTAATACAATCCACTAAAATATTGAATTATCAAGTTGCATGAATGGTAATGAAACATTAGATACCAAACAAATAAGAGCAACGGACAAGAAAATCATTAGCAGAATAAGTTTGACCGAGCTCCAAGGCAGTTAAATTAGCCTCCCAGTAACACTACTCCGAAAATCAGTATATAGCATTCTTATACACTTTCTTCATAGTCTAAGCATTCTATGGTTGAGCCCTGATAGAGTCACCACTCAGTATACAGACGGAAGATAGTACATTTGTATCACGAACAACCCATCTTAGATCTAGCAATCAAAGATGTAAAAAAAAAAAAAAAAGCCAAATAATAATAGCTCATTCAAAGAAGGAAAAGAAAAGCAAATAATAATAGCTCATTTAGTTCTCTTCTTCTTTTGGAGCTTCCTCCACTTGAGAAAGATACTGTAGGACAGACCAGAAAAAACCATGAAAACGCTACCCCATTGCTTTACTGATAGAGGATTGCCGCTCAGCAGAGAGGATACAACAATGCTGACAAACTTGCGAGTCGTGGTGATGGTAGTGTTGGCAAGAGAGCCAAAGCGGCTGATTGTCAGGAAAATAAAGTTTTGGCCCACAGCTCCACAAAGGCAAAACAAGAGAATATCCCATGCCACCTCAGGATGCTCTTTGCAGAAACTCACCGCAGCATAACCGGCAGCATTCGGCCACCCAAACATGTAGATGACATTATATATTGTCCCCCAAAGGTTCATTCCCAGCATAATCTCCCACGCGCTAGTCTTTGGGTATCTACAGTTTTTATATGCATCATTTTGCAATGGTTCGGTTATGTATGCTTACGGTCCATGTAAGTACAAGGTTTTGATATTACCTTTCTTTGATAGAATCTTGGGTTGCGTTCGTAAAACCATCAAAAACTAAGTTTAAGAAGCAGAGTCCATAACCATAGGGCGCATTCGGGTGAGCGAGCTTGCTTATAGTTTTTGAGCTTGTCTGAAGTGGATTAGGATTAAAAAACGTCAGTCTTTACAAATGCATTCTTTACTGAATAATATTTTTTTTCATTTTATAGACTGACTGAGATGGGAACTAGCAGGATGGATTGCTAACTATTATATCACTCTATTTTTATATCATGTACAGTAATATTTGAGGAAAGATGAAAGTGGAAGAAGATTACCTTGGATAGTGCAAATGCGGATATGCCTCCAGCAACGAGGGAAGTGCATATATATTCTGGCAAAGTGTACTTAATGCCATATACAAGGGTACCCATCAGCATAACTGCATGTCACAGAAGAATATGTATGTCAATTCTTAAATGAATAAAAGCTTCATCCTCATCATCATCATCACCCTTTGAAATCAGCAAGCAAGTTGATTGTAAATAATTAATACTATAGAAGCAGATCACAACAGCAGGTGCATTAAAAAGTGGAATTTTTATCTGGCTTCGATCAAAGCATCGACTTCTATGGCATTCTTGGTACATAAAATGGTAGGCCTGTAACAGCACATGTGCTTCAAAAGATACCCCGTTGAATTATGGTATAAGGTTGGCCTATATCGACAAACACATTTTATAGACCCATGACGATCAATAAAAGGCAAGATGATTATAGACATCACAACAACGTTTATTTTAATTCTCAAAGTCGAGGTTTGTTGAAGGACTAAGCTCTTATAGTTACTTTGATTGTTCTGTAGTTCTAAAAAAACTCTCCATAATGAAATTTTATCTATGTTTAGATGAAACATAAAGTTTGATAACCAAAGAAAGGGCTTAAATAAAAGTTAAACAAAAACCCAATATCATCAAAATCTACTGAAGACTAGATCATTAAGAGGGAAAGA